GACACCCCTTGGGCCGGGCGTGTTTTTATCTCCACATTGTTTATGAAATCCCAGCGATGAAGACAACGTTTGACACGCTGTGAAATCCATGTTTTTTAATGGGAAGTTTCTGACTTTTAGTGGAGGTGGGGAAAAGCCCCAGAGAATTTGTAAACATAAAATAATCTGTTGGCAGTGAAGAGGCAACCCCCCCCCACACACACACACACCATAAAGTATTCCTGCAATTGCTCTGGTTTTCTCTGTTGGTCTGTCTTGTTTAACTCATTTTAAGAGAGAAGGTAAGAGAAGAGTAAATGTGTCCTCCTCCTTTTCCTCGTCTCTGCTCCCCTCTCCTGTCTTTCTTCCCTTTATTTTCCAAAAGCCTGGCAGAGTGCCAGATGACTTACATTACTGTAATAGATTTGATGACCTTTGACTTCCGCTGCAGAGGCATATGTTGAATTTTTCATTATATCAGAGGATACTGAAAGCTAAAAAAAAACTCGGGACGGGAAGCCGCATTATTTAAACTAACAGTTCAGTTACACAGGATTTTTTTTTTCTTTTCTTTTTTCCTTAAAGGGGGGGGGGGAAATAGTTGCAATTAAATGTCATCTATCACTGCATTAAGTGAGGATTAATGCAGTTTCCAGTTTGTTCAATCAGCTTGTATGGATTTATATTTTTTTTGAAGTCGCCATTATTATTATTACTATTTTGCAAAGGATAATCTTGCTTTTCATAGTCATTGAATTTAATCAGCAGCTCAGTTGATAGGAAAGGCCTCCCTGCTGTTTCTGCTGTGGACTGGAAAATGTTATTCTTTTATTATTGCAGGAGGGGAAAAAAAATCTGCCCCTCGCTGTTCCAGAATCTGCTATCTATGGGAAAAATTGCTTTTTAATGTGCTGCTGTTTACATATTCTAGTTACGGCAATTATCCCTTAAATAATACATTTTATTAACTTAAAACATAGGAACTGTACTTTATAAGGCTGTTACGGGTAAAAGCACACACCCAAGTGGAACCTTGGAGTAACCAGGGAGTAAATCTTGGGATCTTTCTAACCGTTCTCAGTGTTTGGTGAACCTACACTGGAGGATCCTCTGTCTGGATCCCACAGATGGGTGCCTCTTTTGTACAGCCAGAAAACCAGCAGATTTTAATGCCAAACTGCTGAACCAGGGAAATCAAATATACATGATTTCAAATCACCCCAAGTAGTCCCCCTCCCCAAAAAAACCAATATAAAAATGAAAATATTGCTATGATCCGTTCTTCGGTGGCCGGAACCCTTCTTGCATTATCCCTACTTGCCAAAAGGTGGGGGCTCAGGGGGGGGAGGAAATGCTGACCCCTCCCAGTTTATTTCTGCTACAGTTGCAAAATGCCCCCCCCCCTTTATTTTGCACAGAGGTTGATGTCAGTCTTCAGCTGAGTGACAATAATTACAGAGAAATTAAATCAAGCTGCTAATTTCAGCCCTGTTGCATTGGCGAAGCAGAGAGCTGCATTCTTCCTGTCTGGGGCAATATTGACTTCCAGAGAGAGACTCCATGTGTGTGTGTGTGTGTGTGTGTGTGTGTGTGTGTGTGTGTGTGTGTGTGCGCGTGTGTGCGCGTGCTGGTGTTGTGTTTTACTAAGAGAGCAGCTGGAGGTTTTGAGTCTCCCATCCGCTGCATTATGCTTGTATTGTACAACAGCATCTCATAATGACATGATAAGATCGCACATCCTGTGGTAATTGCGTTGGGCTTCAACAGCACAACCAGAGAGAAAAAGAGATTAAAAGGGGGGCACAGGGGGGGGGACACAGTGGAAATTCTAGCCCTGGAAACCTCTTCCTCAGGTTACAGTTGTCGTGGAAGGGCTCCAGGGCGTTTTCAGTTGTATCTGCCAGGTATATTCACATAGGTAGGGCAGTGTACCTGCTTCCTCCGCCTTTTCCCCATCGCTCCAATTCCCAGCTACCTGGGACCGGCTAGGCCAAGGGTAGGCAACCTCGGCTCTTTTATGACTCGTGGACTTCAACTCCCAGAATTCCTGAGCCAGCATGGCTCAGCTTGGAAACCTCTCCCTTTCCCCTCAGCATGGCTGGCTCAGGAATTCTGGGAGTTGAAGTCCACGAGTCATAAAAGAGCCGAGGTGGCCTACCCCTGGCCTAGGCCAAGGGCCCTTGGCCTCTCTTGTGGGGGGGGGGATGCTGCAGGTCACCCGTGGTGATGACCGGATCACAAAGGAGGCCTCAGGCTTTCTGGGACCGTTGGGGGCCAAACTGGAAAGTCTCAGGGGGGGAAAGGTTCCTGGACCGGTCCGTGAAGGGGGATCCTAAACCCCCAAGGTAGCTGCCAGCGGTTGAGGATCCCGCTGAGCTGCTGATTTATCAGCTGAATATGCAGATTCCAGAGAGGCTGCACGTTGTCCTAGCAACCCAAGTCAAACAATCTTTTCTGCAGTGCCAACGCAATCTTGCTGCAAACAAAATGTGTTTTGGCTAAACCTGATGCTTTAAATATTGAACATATGGCAGAGAAGAGATAAATACTGCTCCGCAAGCAACCGATGCCGCGGCTCCTTTCCTTCTTCAGGTCCTCCCCGCCCCCGCCCCCAGCCCCATCAGCCTTATTTTACTTCTTGTTTCACTACATCAGTGTTTCCCAAACTTGACGATTTTAAGGCATGAGGACTTCAACTCCCAGAATTCCACAGCCAGCAACGCTGGCTGTGGAATTCTGGGAGTTGAAGTCCACATGCCTTAAAATTGTCAAGTTTGGGAAACACTGCACTACATAAACAGTAACCGTAATGTTACCACAGGAAGTATTTGGCAACCTCACTGCTATTTTGCTTAGCCTGCATATAGAGGGAATGTTTCCCCCCCCCCCAGTTCCAGAAGCTGTAACGTGTTTAAACTCAGTTTGTAATGGGATCCGAAGAGGATTTTTCTTCTGGGTTGGGCCTCCTTTGGGGGGGGGCAGAGGCTGGACTCAAAAGCCTCCTATATCCTCCATCTCCTGGCACTGCCAGAGCATCCTCAGCTAATGACGTTGGTTTTCTAATAAGGCATGAACTAGGTTTATATTTATCATCAATTATGCTGCACTTTATTAAAATGTGAAATGCTATCATTTGGGAAGCAGCGAGTCCCAGTTCTCTCTCTCTGCATTGGGACATCTAAATCTAAACCACACGGTCTGGAGTGGATTCCGGAACAAGCCAGAAAGCAAAATGTATTTGATCTGCATTTTTTTTTTTTTTACTTTGAATTCTTAAGATTAAACTGTAATTAAAGCAGTCGGATATTTGGACAGATTCGTGTTGTTTTTAAAGCAAAGTCCGTGGTGTTTGGTTTTTTTTTTTCACAGATGCCTTAAAAAACATGTTTGCCTTGTAAAAAGTTCCCATTTTATTCCCGCCACGAGTAATTCATTAATCATGCTGAATGCATTATAAAAACTTTAATCACCAATGCTGAAACTCAGATAGCCAGCGTAACCCTTTCGTTAACATTGAAGAAAGTCTTCCTTTTTTTAGATCAAGGGGGGAAAAATTAGCATTGAGAGTTTTTTAAAATTTATTTTAAAAATGGCATCATTCAGGAGGTAGGGATTTTAAAAAATAAATAAATATGTTGGGTTCCTACCCAGTCTCTCTTCTCTTATGCTTTCCCTTTAGTAAAGAGGGGTCTCTCACCTGCTCCCGCATCCCCCTCAGCCTTCCTCAGCTTTCCAAAACACAAATATCTTTCTCTGCTGATGGCAAATTCAGTGCCCCAATTTTTATGGATGGAGGGTCCAGACTGGAAAAGTCTCATGGGTACATCGGCTAACTTTATTTAATGACCCCAAATGGTATTACAAATAAAAAACTCAGTTCAGTTGACGTAAAGGGTCAGAGTTCAGGAAAATAAGTAGCTTGTTTGCTAAGGGCTGATTTGATCCAACTCAAAATCTCATTTTTGATTTTTTTTTTTGAACCAGCTCAAAAGTGGCCCAAAATCTTTTCCCAGATATAACACCCTCGTAACCTACTAAGACAGTGGTGGCGAACCTATGGCACAGGTGCCAGAGGTGGCACGCAGAGCCCTCTCTGTGGGCACGCACGCCGTTGCCCCAGTCCTAGGCCTTCAGCTGGGTTTTATAAAACCTTTTCGCTTTACGCCTCCACTGCCATGTGCAAAAAAAAAAAAGGGTTCAATCAATCAGTCAATTTCAACTTCTCGCGGGGGGAAAAAAAAGATCTTGCAAAGTTGGAATTGATTGACTGAACTTTTTAGTCCCACCTAGTCTGCCATTACCACCGTAGCCACGCCCACCCAATGGGCCACACCCAGCCAATGGGCCACACCCACCCGGCACCCGACGATGCATAAGTGGGTTTTGGGTTGCAGTTTGGTTCGCCATCACTGTACTAAGACTTTCTCCTAGTGAGTGTGCAGCTGATTGGGAGCAAGAGAATGGAGACACACACACACACACACACACACACACACACACACACACACACGAGGTGAATGCAAGTTCTGAGTTTTTAAAGCCATCCCATTTGCTAAGGGCTCCCTTTAGAATTACTTAAGGCTTACCTAAACCTGTCGCCTAGGAAAGTAGCAAAAGAGTTCTTTAAGAAGAAGAGTGTAAAAAATCTCTTTGATGACTTACAAATCCAAGATGTAACCAGAGGAGAGCGGGCTCATTTAGTTAAGCAGCTCTTCAAAGCAAAACCTAAAACCAGATTCTATTTTGAGGGAGAGAAAGGGGGGTCCACAGGGGGGCTGGGGAGAGGGACTGGGATTGAAACTGGCCTTGTCTTCCCTAACGCCATGTGGAGGACCCTCCTGATGCTTGTGGTGACCCCATCCTGGACCTGCAAGCTGGAGACCCTTCTCTGCCCAAAGCAGCCGCAGGCCCGCTTCCTCCTGCCCGCTCCAAAGGTGCTTTTCCGTGGCGCATCCATTACCAGGACAGGATACTTCCCATGGGCGAGAATCTCCATAACTGATTCATTATTTGTTCTTCAGATTAATCTTGCCCTACGAAAGATACATTAAAGGGGAGGAAGATAAGCCGTTGCCCCAGGTGAAGCCACGGAAGCAAGAGGTCGCCCAGGAGGCGGAGAGTAAGATAAAACTGGCTGGCACAAAGCGCATCAAGCATGAAAACGTGAAGAGCAAGAAGGAGCGGGAAGAGGCACCAAAGCCCCAGGACCCAGCAGAGGTCAGTTCTACCTGCTCCGCTTTTGTGCGTCCCACATTTTCCATCCTTTGACCTTGTTCTGGTTCCAGCAAAGAGATTGCTGGATTTGACTTGAAACAGGCAGAATTAAATCCACGGATCAATCCTACAAAATGACTTTATTCCAGGCGTCCTCAAGTCAATAACTTAACAGTTACTGCAGAAATTTCTCTGGAATGCAAATTGTATTTGCATTTCATCGGCGTAGGTAAAAGGATAATAGATTTCTCCATTCTACGGAGCTCCTAAGCCTCGTGGCTAGGATTCGTGGAGAGATGATAGACTGGCACAGAAATAGGATATCCCCTAATAAAAACACAAGACCCTCCCAGTAGCCCATCCTAACACAGATATAACCAGGTAACAACTGAAACTACATTTCCCAGAAGGCCATTCCTTAAGGGGACATCATTTTAACCCTTAAAATGCAACTTGTTCTACACACAGTTCTTAATTCCTAAGCTAGCTATATACCAGTGGTGGCAAACCTATGGCACGCGTGCCAGAGGCGGCACTCAGAGCCTTCTCTGTGGGCACACACGCCATGCCCTAGAGATGGCAACCGTCCCTCTTCAACCAGCCGTCCGCTAACTTGTTGAGGTCCCACGTGGCTGGATGCATCCCAGCACCCATGCGCTCGCTGGCCTCTGTGTGCGGGGGCCGATGGTGTCAGGCAGCAGCCGCCCTGGCCCCTGCCTCGCCTTGCCCTATGACAATGGCACCACCACCCTGCCTCACCTTGCCTCACCTCATCCCGCAGGACGAGCCTCCTGCCCACCGCCCCACCTGCCAGAGACCCGCTGGATCTCCCCCAACCCTGCCCAGCCCCCACAGACGTCCCTCCCCACGAGCAATATCAAGGTGATCACGCCCACCTCGGCCACACCCACCCAATCTGCCATGACCACCACAGCCATGCCCACCCAGTGGGCCATGCCCACCTGGCACCCGGCTATAAATAAGTAGGTTTTGGGTTGCAGTTTGGGCACTCGGTCTCTAAAAGATTCGCCATCACTGCTATATACTCTGACCAGCACAGACTTGTACCACCCCGTTTTGATCGCCAAATATTGGACGACTCTCTTTGGGGACAAGAGCTGACTAAAATACTAAAAAACTCTCTCTGGCTGTCAGCCTCACATTCTCCTCAATTCGCAGGGCAACTTAAAAAGCAGCTGCAGCGGCACAAATCTGGGAGAAGACGGGGCTTCCGTCCATCTCCTGACGGTAGCACCGAGAGAGTTCCTTTCCTGCCACTCAATCTTTGGGCCCAAGAAAGAGAGGGAAAAGCACAGCCGCTTACCTTAGCCCAGGGGTAGGCCACCTCGGCTCTTTTATGACTTATGGACTTCAACTCCCAGAATTCCTGAGCCAGCCATGCTGAGGGGAAAGAGAGAGGGTTCCAAGCTGAGTCCTGCTGGCTCAGGAATTCTGGGAGTTGAAGTCCACGAGTCATAAAAGAGCCAAGGTGGCCTACCCCTGGTGTTAGACCAATCCTCTCCAGGTGGGTCAGACTACAGTCCCCATCATCCCCCCCTCCACACTGTCTGAATACAATGCGATCTCTACTCCTACCTATTGGGGTATTTCTACCTGGCTGCTTCCAGGCAAGTCTACTGTAGCCACTTTCCGTTGCTTTCCTCAAAATGTTTTCTCTCCCTCCCCCCCATATACACACCATCTACTCCACAGCCCTGGGATTTCCTAATAAGTAAGGTCTGGGGCGGAGTGAAAAGACACCCCCCTCATTAGCCACAGAAGCACCCTAGGGATTTTGGGCCTGTTGGTTCCACCTAATGCCAGGGGTAGGCAACCTTGGCTCTTTTGTGACTGGTGGACTTCAACTCCCAGAATTCCTGAGCCAGCCATGCTGAGGGGAAAGGGAAAGATTTCCAAGCTGAGCCACGCCGGCTCAGGAATTCTGGGAGTTGAAGTCCACGAGTCATAAAAGAGCCAAGGCGGCCTACCCGTGGCTTAGCCCATGATGCTGTGGTCAGGGCTTCCTGCCTAAAAACCGCTGGGGAGGGAAGATGATTTTGCAAGATTGCCAGACAGCTGCTTCTCAGGATGGCCTCAAATTCAGTGGATTGACGGAGGAAACCAAAAGGGGAGATCCTTAGCAAAAGGGCCGGAAAGAACGTTCATCACAGGGAAAGCCCAAAATGGCCCTGTTTTCACTCCAGCTCTGCCCTCGGTCCACCCTGACCCCCTTCCAGCCACCCTAAGAGAGATCCTTCTTTTTAGCAAGGGCCGCCTTGGATAGCACTGAAAGCTTAAGTCTACAACAGAGATTAAAGGAATCCATTTGGCTGGGATTGGGTTTTCTCTGCCTGGGCTGCTCCATGAACCCAGCAGCAGTGACCGGCCCTGTAATTGATGGGTGGGCAACCTTCCATGAAGGTTGCTGGGTCTGAAAATTACCGTACTGAAAATTGCAGATCAGGAACGTAGCTTCGCCTGCATCTTATGGTGGGACAGAAAAGAAGGGCTGAGTCCTAATCCTTCCCCTCTTGTGGAGGCCACCAGAAAACCCTGCAGGCTTCAGTGCAAAGGCCGAGGGCTTTCTTTGCCGAGAGAGAACTTGGCATTGTCTGCAGATGAGATGCTTGTCTGGGCGGTGTTTTCTCACAGTTTCCTCTCCAAATCTTTTATTAGGGTTCGTCAGCCAAAGAGAAGAATCAGGAATGCCCGTTGCAGAAAAGCTTATTGGACCTGACTGCAGCAGAAGCCATGAAGCTCTCCGCCGAAGGGTCTCGGCTCTCCCCTCCACCAGCCCCTGGAGTGGCCTTCTTGGAAGAGGAGGAGCCTCTGGCCGAGGGGTCTCTGGTCCCCCCCGAAGCCCTGATCAGAAGCCCCCCGCTGGAGGAGCTGCAGGAGGAGCCCAAGCGGGAACCACGGGGGGTGTCCTGTGTTGCAGAAGACCTTCCGGAGGAGGCCCAGGCAATGCCGTTCAGCAGCTTCCCCGGCCTCCAACTCCCCAGTCAGAACGAGATGGAAGATGATAAGATCCCAGAGATGGCGGACTACATTGCCAACTGCACGGTAAAAGTGGATCAGCTGGGCAGCGAGGACATCCACAGTGCCCTGAAGCAGAGCCCCAAAGTGCTGGTGGTGCAGAACTTCGACATGTTCAAGGAGAAGGAGTTTCCGAGCTCCTTCAATGGGGACCCTGGGTTTGGTTCCACCCCGTTACTCTACTCCAAGGGCAACCCGGGCATCATGTCCCCTCTGGCGAAAAAGAAGCTCCTCTCCCAGGTGAGCGGGGCAGCCCTGTCCTGCAGCAACTACCCGTATGGCTCCCCACCACCCCTGATCAGCAAGAAGAAGTTCAGCAGCAAGGACGACCTCTTGTCCGGCAGGCCAGGACTGCTGTCTCCCAGGCACTCGGTGGACAGTGCCGCGGTCAGCAGGCCGTCGGTCATCCAGCACGTGCAGAGTTTCAAACCCAAGACTGCAGAGGACAGGAGGCCCACTCACGATGCCTACCGGCATGAATCCCTGCATAAGAAAGCAGACTCTGAATGTTGTGATTTTTCCAAGCAGCACTTGAGTGCCCTGGCGGAGTCCTACGCGCTGAAGTCAGACATCCAGGACATGAAGGAACGAATGAACGAGAGGAGGGCTCTGCACCACTCACATGTGCCAGGCTTCTTGGCAGACTTCTACGCCTCCCCTCCTCTCCACAGCCTCTACAGGCGTGCCGAGCACCACCTGGGGGGCCAGCCATGCTCTAAGTACTTCCCCCGAGACGCCTATGGGGGAACTACATCCGGGTTCCCTCCCCATAAGCCCCAGGATAGGCGACTCCTCAGCTACCACCCGCCTCTGCACCAGCTGGAGAATAAGACCCCCCGGGAAACCTCCTCGGACGATCAGCCCACAGACCTGAGCCTTCCCAAAGGGGGTCACAAACCGACAACAAAAACCTTGGGAGCCCCTCTCTTGCGGGGTTCACCTGGGGGGGTGGAGGAGGGCAAAAGCTCCACCCGGTTCCACGCCTTGACCAGCCAAACTCTAAGTGCGGAGGGCAACCCAAAGGCTTGTCGGGTCTCCCCAATGACGGTCTCTGCCCCAAAGAAACAGGGGGAGCCCCTCCTGAGGGCCTGCAAGCTGCCAGCCCCGAGAAAGTTGGACGGGATGGTACACCCAGTCCTGAGCCACAAAGCCTTGGCTCCAGGCATCGGGGCAGCTCGCCCTCTGAAGCGCAGCCTGGAGGATCTGGACAAAGGGCTTTTGGAGAAGAAGGTCCGAGCGGTCTCGCCCTTGCGCTTACCAAAGGAAGCCCCTTCCAAAGAGCAGGACATGGAGGGCAGCAAGTCACTGCATGGCCCACCCCCAGGCGGGGCACTGGAGGGCCACAAGTTCCCCCTTTCCAGCCCCATCTTCACAGGCTTGTATCCAGGGACCCTCTGCGGCGGCCTGGGCAGCCGCATGCCCGCGGCCGGCTATTCCCACCCCCTGCAGTACTTGAAAAACCAGGCCGCCCTCTCCCCGCTGGTGCAGCCCTTCGCTCTCCACTCGTTCATGGTGCACAGACAGTTCCTCACCTCCCCAGGCAGCTCTCAACAGCTTTACCGGCACTTGGCGGCGGCCTCCCCCGTGGGCAGCTCCTACGGGGATCTTTTGCACAACAGCGTTTATCCTTTGACGGCTCTGAACCCTCAGCCTGCTTTCCCCCCCTCCCAGCTCTCTTCCGTACACCCGAGCACAAAGTTGTAAATGCTTCTGAGAAATGTCACCCCCCGCAAACGACATTCCTTTTGCCCGCAATCCTGTCTTGCAAACAAGTATATCAATATTTGTGATAACCAAGGAGCGGTTAAGCTCCTACCCGCTGAGCGCTTTGGGCCTGACTGTGACGCAGCTCCGGCTTAGCTGGGCTTGAGGCCAGACTGCTGGCTTTCTCCTCGCCTCCTCGCCGGTGCGCCTGCTGCTGCACGGAGGGCTGCGGAGAGCGAGGGTTTCCGGGCAGCCAAGGCTCAGGCGCGCCTGGGCCCCAACGCAAGAGGAAGGGCCCGCTTGGCTTGCCTCCTCCGCCCATCCCCAGGCAGTGGCCTCGAAAGGTTTCAGATAAATCAGGAAGGCAGGAAACACCACCTGGGGCGGTTGCTTCTTGGGGGGGGGGTACCATTTCAGAGTTCAAATCAATGCAATGTATAGAAAAACTGTCGTTCGACTTTCATCTTAACACTATCAGAACAGAACAAGTAAAACGCAAAAACAGACTGTACATATCTGCTTCAGAAACGAGAACGACCCGTGTCAAGTTCATTTGTATAATTTATGTAAGTTCTTATTTTCCACGTATCATGTGCTGTTTTTTTTTTAAAGGAAAAAAATTAAACAGCTCCTTTTTATTTGCCAATTTTTTTTCCTTTTCCTTTTTTTTTTTTTTTTAAGCGCAAGAAAGGAGACTTTGGATATTAAGGGCTTTTTACGCTTCGCGTTTGTCTCTCTCTCTCTCTCTGCCTTTCCTCCTCTGCTTCTATTTTGAAGACACCTTTCGGGGAGGGGGGTTACACCCACTTTCACTGGACAGAAGCCAACTGTGATTCAAGAGTCTCAATTCTCTTCAGTCTGAGGTTGCTGGGCCCTGTCTCGGCCCTTTGGGGCAGCCCCTCCCTCCTAGTCCAGTGCAGCTTTCCTGTCTCAAGGCCGGCCTGGTGGTTACGATCTGCAGTGCTCCATCTCTTACCAGTTGCGACCCAAAGGAAGCCTCCCATGCATCAGCAGTAACGTTGGCGTGCAGACGACGTTCCACAGGGGGTGTGAAGCTGTCAAGAACCTCAGGCATTAGGTAAAGATGGTTGAGATCCTGCCACCCAAGGGGATCCCTTGAAAAGAGAGCCTGACTGATCTGGGTTTCTTCGAAGCAAACGTGAAGAAAGGTTGTCCAAGAGCTAGTCTAAGCCATTAATTGCTTGGACTCTTGGTGGGCTGATGTAGGCCAGATTTCCCCCAAGTATTTTAAACCTTGGCTTTCTAGCAGTCATGAAGGCAATGTAATGTACGAAACTTCGAAGCCGAGCGCTGGCTTTGGACACCCCCCCCTTTTTTTTTCCATTGAGCAAATCGTCCAATCCAGGGACCACCTGGGTCTCCCTGATTACAGTGGTTTTCCAGAGTCTGCACAAGTTGTGTGAGGCTTTGGCAGAGCCCCTCATTTTATGACCCGCCTGTGCTTCGCCCAGGGTGTGTTGGCACATGTGTGCGCCTCCATCCTATCTGCCCTTCCTACTGCTGCAGCTTGCCTCTGAACCATTGAAGGGCAAAGAGAGATCCACGTCCGAGGGGGGGAGGGGGGAGCATGGATGGCTCCATCTCTGTCCAGCCTGTCTCACTGTGTCCCGCTTCCCCTGTGATGTTCGCGAGTCTCCTCTATCCCATTTTCAGCATCCAACAGTGACAAAACAGAATAAACCGCACCCACACCCCAAAAAACGCCTTTAAACATCTTTTTCAATACATTTCTAACATGCTGTCTCTCAAAGGACATAAATCTCAACAAGTTTTATCTTTAAAACGTGGGGAGGGGGGGGTTTAAGCCAGGAACTGCATATAAAAAAAAATAGCAAAGTGTGAAAACCCAAAAAAAAATGTCCAGGAGACAAAAATGTGCAAGGAGCCAATTCTTTCCTCCCTTACTCGCCGCTGAAAGAGCAAGGGCTGCCATCTCCGGGGCTCTTGATGGGGGTTCAGGTCAGGAGGCCCTGGCAGACCGGTGGGGTTTTGCGCCAGCCCTCCTGACTCCGGCAGCAGAAGATCATCCTTCTTGGGACCACATCCAGCCTTGCTCCGTCGGTTGCGGGAGGTTTCCCTCGGAGATGGGGATCCCTAGGGCTGGGGCAAAATTTTGCCTTGTAGGCCTTGGAATTGCAGTGTGGCCGGAAGAGACTCAAATCTCACTCGCCTCGAGCCGAACCAGGAGTTCCAGGCCAGCATCACTTTTTCTGGAGAGCATCTGAGCCCAGTTAAGGCCACGGCACCTCTGAGCCTCCGGGCAGGGGAAGACATAGCTGACCCCCTTCGAGGGGCTGCTCGGAAGCTGTGGCTTCCTGGCCTATGCCCTGGGCGTCTGTGCAGAAAGGCTGAGGTTGAAGGAAACCCCCGGCAATGCCAGGACCTGAATCTACACCCCGGTTCCAGTGCAGTAAACCATCCAACGACCGGGATCTAGCGGAAACTCCTTAAAATGCAACTCGCCTGCATGCCCAACCTCCTGCATTAAAACTGACTGTGATTCAAAGCCTGTTGCGATATACAATGTAAGCTACTTAATATATATATATATAGATATATATATATTGGTGGGGGGGAACACAATAATAGGCAGCTGTCATTATCTTCAGTTAAATGCTTTTATGTTCTTGTGCATAATTATGCTAACTGACGATGCATAAACAGGCTTGTAGAACATGGCACATAACTCTGCCGGGTTGGGGGGGGGATGTTTGAGGGGCAGGAAGGGAGTCGGTGTCCCTATTGGCTGAATAGTGAATGCAAAGACCACCCTCGCCCCCGTCCAAAGGCTTGCTCCGTTGCACTAAACGTGGAGGAATCGAGGAATCGCACTCAAGGTGGGGAGGCAGGTGGCGGTCCCGGCTGGGGAATCGGAGGAGCTGCGGCTGGTTTTGGAATAGGGAATCACGTTCAGAGAGGCTGGTTGAGAGCGGAGGCGTGGAGGCGCCTCCTGTCCCTTGTTCCTTGGCTCTTGGATGGCCCTGCTTTGTTGGCAGTGGGAGACCATCGGGCACGACCATCTCCCCTTGCGTTCCCACAGCCTGCTCTTCTCTGCCAAGGCCAGGTGGGGCTTCTGCTGGCAAGGGCTGGCCTGCCATGGTCACCCTAACCCTTTACTGGGGATGGGGATGGTTTCTGAAAGTTGGGCCGGGCAACCAACGGGCTGACTTCGCCCATCACCCTCTCTGTTTTAAAGCATCCTGGTGGAGAGCTATGTCCATCTTTGGTTCAGAAGAAAAATGCACTTATTTTTTAGAAAACACATGATATCTTGGCCATTCTGAGGGCAAATGGGGAAGTAGCAATGGCACGATGGGCTCCCTCATGGGGAGCAGGAAGTCTGCCTTCTCTTCTTTGTTTTAAGATTGGATTTCTATTAAGTCTTTAAAATTTCCACTGGCAGATAACCACTTTTGGTGCGTCTTCAATGGGGCTTTGTTTGAGTTCAAGAGGCCTTGTGTCTGAAAAAAAAAATTGCCCGAGTTTTTTCTTTGTGCAATCAAGCCATTGTTATTAGTAGATGGGCAAAGGAATGAGCAAAACCTAATTTGGTAGCAGAAAGGAATAAATCTCTCGAGTGGACTTGGCTTCCAAAAAGTATTGCAATTCCAGTGCGCTCTGGTCAGGATTTAAAGATTTTTGAAAGCTGGTAAGATCAAAGACAAAAGAAAAAAAAAGCTTTTCGTATGACATCCTGTTTAAAAAACAAACTAAAGGCACTATACTGGGCGAGGCATTTTGCATTGGATTCTTATGGTAATCATTAGAACAGAGAGCAGTTTGCCATTTTAATAAAGACCCAAATAAAACCCATACGTCTCCTTGGCTTGAACCATTGCATGAATTAAAGACTTCAGGCAGGCACTCTTCATTAGAGCAGTGGTTCTCAACCTTTTTAATGCTGCGACCCCCAACCGGTTGTAAGTCGAGGACTACTCAACCGGTCGTAAGTCGAGGACTACTCAACTGGTGCAGCACCGTTTGCTGGGCAGGGCAGAGACAGCCTGGACAATTCCTATTGGCTTTTGAAAGCCAATAGAATTAGGCTCTATTCAAGAGAGTCTATTCTATTGACTTTCAAAAGCCAATAGAATAAAAGGGAGTAGCACAGCTAAGGAAAAGGGGGGGAAAATGGCGGACTGCGTTGTTTGGTGACCCCCCGTGAAATGGTCGTTCGACCCCAAATGGGGTCCCGACCCACAGGTTGAGAACCACTGCATTAGAGGAACATTCCTGCTCCTGGAGTCACCCCCCCCCCCAGCCTACTCAAGAGTCACTTTTGCATCAAGCTGGGCATAAAGGATTCCAGAGCAGCTCTACAGATTTCGGTATGAATGCCCCTGAGTGAGGGCATCCATCTGCCCCTCGGGGGAAGATCTGGCTGTGTGGGTTGCAATCCCTTCCCTGGCAGAGGGTGGTTACTGGAGTCTCTCATGCCTGACCTTGCTTACTCCCCTTTGGCTCCAAGGCTGGCCAGAAGATGGATAAGGTTTGCCTCAAGGTGTGAGGACATCCTAATTCCAAAAGGATACGGAAAAAAGGGCTGCTCCGGACATCCCACCTTTTCAAAGGAGCAGCTGTTTTTTTTTCCACGTTTCCACGCAAGCTTGAAAAACACGGCTGCTTTTTTGTGTTGACCCATTGAAAGCAGCTGCATCTTAAATGTAAACTGCACCTTCAGTACTCTGAGATGTTTGTCCTTAGTCATTTTAAGAGCATATACAATCTATTTTTCTTCAATCTTAAGTAAATCAGGTCAGAGCACATTGCAATGGGGGGGGGTGATCAAATTTGCCCTTTTTCATGATTTGTGTCATTTAGAATGGGAAAATGTGTCTCCAGAGTGAGGCCTGCAGAATTAAAGAACTATCATCTTGAGCACTTGCTTTGCTGTAAATATATTTGATATTTTACATGTATTTCCTCCTCCCCAATATTATAAATATGAGCTAACAAAGGCAGCGTAATCTACAGGCTGTTCATGCCTTGTTTGAAGCATTCTTTTGTTTGTACATAGTGTATACATTTTTGTCATTTATGTTACTGTAAGTTATATGCTCTGTATATGATTATCTGTATATAGAAAAAAAATGGCCCGATAATATCACAGTTCCTCATTTTTTAAAGAAATAAAAGGGTTATTGAGTAACCTTTGGCATTGATTAAATTTAACACTACCAGAAAGAAATAAAAGCTGAGCCAAGTATAAACACTCAATTTTTGTATGTTTCCCAAATTGTATGTATTAATGTTTTTGATACTGTATTATGTGCCAATAGTTTCCCAACCACATAGCAACCAGAAGATATTTTGTACTTTTTGATCCACTGTAATATTTAATAAAAAATGTTACTGTCTCCTTTTGTGTTTATACATACATTAAATTTTATTTTCCTTAGTTCTTTCAGAGAGAATTACAGGCTGCTCCACTAATGCTTTTATTAACCTCTTGAAAGCAATTTATCTGGAAGCGGCATACCCGCCTGCGTGTACACACATATACACTCACACAAATGAAAATAATTTAAGTGCCATTGAGGCACCAAAAACATCTCCAGATAGGCAGCTATGTCTCTGCAAACTAAGAATGGAAGCGGATAGAAATGTTGTATTAGGATTAGTTTG